TCTTAAGCCACCAACATTTAACTATAAGGATTTGTTAAATATTAAAGAATTGGGAGCAACAGGCACACAACCTGGCAGGCTAGGAAATAGCCAATTCCAAGTTCAAATCTCTGGCTACTCTGCACAGGCTATACCTGTAATCAGACATAATGTTCCCACTGTTACAGTTACTCATTGCAATGCAGTATTGACTGACTATAGGATCACAGAAGAAACTGCTTTGAGGCTGGAGTCTTTAAGCTTTTTGAAGTTATCAAACTTTTATCCTTCAGAATGAACAAAGGGGCAGCTAGGTGGCACAATGGATTCCAGGGCATGGGCCCTGGAATCAGGAGGATCTGAGTTCAAATTTGACCTCCGACACTTATTGGCTCTGTGATGCTGAGCAAGTCATTTAACCCTGTTTGCCTTAGCTTTGTCATCTGTCAAATGAGCTGGAGATGAAAATGGCAAACCACTCCAGTATCTTTGCCAAGAAAACACCAAATGCGGTCACAAAGAGTCAGACACGATTGAAAAACAAAATCCCTTATATAAAATAATGCCAAATGAAAAAAACACGGCAAAATAATAATAACTAGCATTTATGTAGTGCTTTATGGTTTACAAAACATTTACATATGTTATCTCTTTTGGATGCTCACAACCTCCCTATGAGTTAGGTACTATTATCATCTCTATTTTACAGGTGAGGAACCTGAGGCTGAGAGACATTAAGTGACTTGCCCAAGGTCACACAGATGGTAAGGCCAGGTTCAAACTCAGATTTTCCCAACTTCAAATCTAGTGTAATAGCCACTGAGCAACCTAGCTGTCCATGTGCTCATGAATGATGATAATAATGTCAGAATAACTGCAAGTATATTAGAAAAACTGGAAGAAATTATGAATGGTAAATAAAATTCAAGTTAATTAGATTTTTTCTTTTTTTCCTTCCTTCCTCTCTTTTCCTTCTTTCCTTCCTTCCTTTCTCTCTTTTCTTTCCTTCTTCCCTCTCCCTCTTTTTTTGCTCCCTTCCTCCCTCCGTTCCTTCCTTTCTTCCTTCTTATCGAGTTGCTAAATTCCATAAATTTGAACCAAATTTTACTGTAACACAGATTCTGAAGCTGTTCTCACACCCCCCATTTACCCCGGCAGGCTGGGTCCCCACAGATTAGCTACTTGTTCCTTTAGAGTCTAGGAGGATGAGAGGAATGTCGTTCTAAAACTATACCACAGCAAGGTGGTGCAATGGACATAGTGCCAGGCCTAGAGTCAGGAAGACTCCTCTTCCTGAATTCAAATCTGGCCTTAGACACTTATTAGGAGTGTGACCCCAGGCACGTCACTTAACCCTGTTTGTCTCAGTTTCCTCATCTGTAAAATGAGGTGGAGAAGGAAATGGCAAATCACTTCACTATCTCTGCCAAGAAAACCCCCAATGGGGTTACAAAGAGACAGATACAACTGAACAACAATAACAACATAGTTTATGAGGCCCCACTGGTGTGTTCCCTCCCAATGCTTATCAGTTGATATCAATTGCTTGGTAAGTTGTAATTAGCTTTTAGTCTCAAAGGTATTTACTAAGGTGGCCACAGTAAAAGCAATTTGTACAAAACTCCATGTCTGTGATTCATTCTCCATAAGTACACACTAAGAAGTCCAGAGGAAATTGGGGCTCGAGCTTAGAGAGTTCAATACAGCATGGGGGTAATTCACAGCTCCAGGAAGTCTTTTTGATGAAGTTCTCAAGATATTTCCCTCAGGGAAGATACAGCTTTTCTATAGGGCTTCTTGTAGATTCTTGAATGTGCCTTTCCTCTCAGTATCCAGTCCATCCTCAGCTCCTTGATTCAGGCACTGACACTAGAAGTCACTATTCTAGGGATACGACCAGGACACTTAAATTCACAAGGTCTTCTTCTGGTCAAACGGGGTGGGGATTTACGTGGAGGCCAAGACCTGAGGCTGGAACTCTTCTCCTCCCCCCAAGGGAGGCTTTCAACAGAAGACTCCAAATGCTTGAATCTTTTGGTTCTGAAGTGGCTTCAATATTGTACAGATGACCCAAAGGACATTTTCTTGACCAATCTGAACCAAACTTTCTGAGTAATGGGTCTAGCATTTGACACTTACTTTAAGTGGGATGAGTTAACTTGACTGATTGACTTAATTGACCCCTACCCTTATACCAGTAATGAATGTTTGGCAAAAAATTAAAATAATCTAAAAATCCAATAATTTCAGAAAAAAGCACCTAAATTTAGCCTAACTCCATAGTGTAGAAAACTATCTATAATAATAATAATAGCTAGCACTTACATAGCACTTTAAGGATGGAAAGCACTTTATATACATATTATCTCATTTGATCCTCATAACAACCCTGTGAGGTAGATGACATTATTATCCCCATTTTACAAATGAAGAAAACCGAGACACAGTAGTCAAGGGACTAGCCCAAAGTCAAATAGCCAGTAAATGTCTGAGGCAGGACACATACTAGGGTTTGGAGTGTATGGTGAATTGGGCCCCTTTTCAAAGCATTCTACTTCAGTTCCTCAACACTACATGTCCTATTTGAGGGTTAAAATTCGGTAATTATTCAATTGATAATGCTTACCACCACTACATCAGCCACTCAACAAATATTACTCAAAGTGAATTTAATTAAGTGAAAAGACACATTTAACTGAGGGATAAGTCCTTGCCTTTCCATAAGTACCCAGCTCAGTGGAAAGGAAAGGAAAGGAAATACTCTTAAAGTGAAAGAAATGAGCAACCATACGTTTCATAAACAAAGAACCTGCACAGTACAAACCACGGCAATCTTCCAAAAATAAACTCTGCTAGGTACATCTCTGTGGAAATAAAATAGAAAATCCTTCCTGTGGCCAAGAGTTCCATTACAAATTGAAATGTTCAGTCCTGGCACACAGACAAATTCTCGCCCTTTTTTAATTCCTGCCAATTTTCTTTCTTCAAGTCTCTTTGGTGTTGTGCCCACCACCACGATGCCGCAGGGATGGCACTGAACTGTAAGACAAGCCCGCACTGCCAATAATCCTTCTGCACAGCTCTCCCCACCCCCACAGCAGGGCTCCCCACCATCCAGTGAGTTGTATTCCCCAGGGGACTCCACAGCCCTTCAAGAGAATGAGTAGATTAAGCTTCTGGAAAAGACTGGCCCGCTCTTCTGGGTCTGGGACGTCAACCACGCTCTCTGCTGCTTTTTAATTCTTACCTGCTGCTGTCCTTTCAATTCCTGGAGTGTTAGCATACACACAGGAGGATGAGCAGGGGGAATGATAAGTGCTTCTCTTTCTTGACCTCTCTGTAGCACGTGACATAGTTGAAAAAAAATCTTCCTTCTGCATACTGTCTCGCTGGGATTTGGTGACACCCCTCTGTCCTGACTAGGGCCATCATTCATTTCCATATGGATGGGTGTACCCCAAGGCTTGGTCATCAGTCCTTTACTTTTCTATATATATTCTTTCTTCTTGGTGACCTCATAAGTGCTCATAGATTCAGTTGTCATCACTATGCAGAAGACTCCCAAATCTACATAAGCAATAGCTAATCATAACTAACATTTATATAGCATTTCCTATGTGCCAGATATCTGCTAAGTGTTTTACAATTACTATCTCATTTGGTCCTCACAATAACCCTGGGAGGTAGCTGCTATTATTGTCCCCATTTAACAGATGAGGAGATTGAGGCAGGTGATTTGCCCAGAATTATACAACTAATAAGTATCTGAGGCCAGATCTGAACAGCACTTAGCACAATGTCTGGCACATGGTAGGTACTTAATAAATGTTTACTGATTGACTACTCTCTCTTTCTGTCCCTGTCTCTCTGTGTCTCTATCTCTGTTTCTGTCTCTCCCTCTTATTTCAATCTTATATCTCCAACTTCTTGCTGGTCATTTCCATTTGGATAACTCCATGTCTAGAACTTCATTAGCCTTGGTCACTCCTTTTCTTAACTTCCCTATTTCTTTGGAAGGCACGGCCATTCTTCCAGTCACTCAGATCTGCATCACAATCTTGGAGTTATCTTTAACTATCATTCTCTCTCACTTCCCAAATACAATCAGTTGCTAACACTTGTTGATTTTTCTTCTGTAACATGCTTTCCATTCATCCCCTTCTCTCTTCTTGGACTAAAACCACCCTTATCCAGGTTATCAATCCCTCTCTACCTCTCATAGCTAGGTGACACAGTGGATAGAGAGCTGGGCCTGGAGTTGGAGTTCGGGTGAAGGTCTAGTTCTGGAGCCAAATCCAAAGTCTGGGGCATGGTCGGGGGGGCTGGGAGGGTGGAGGGCAGTGTGAGATGAAGATAACAGCCAGAGCGCAGGCAGCACAGTGTGGAAATGGTAGGGTGGACATTAAATTTCTTCTCTCCATTTCTTTGCACAAGCTGTAACCCCACTGCCTGAAATATTCTATCTCCTTGCCTCTGCTCTTTAGAAACCCTATTTCCCTCAAAGCTCAGCTCAGTTTTTTTCTCCCATAAGGGGCCTTTTTTGACTCCTGCAATAGATAATGTTGCCCTTGAAATTTTTTATGTATGCCTTTAAACCTGCAGCCTCGAGACCATACGTGACCCTCTACGCCCTTTGACTGAATCCAAACTTCACAGAACTGCAACTGAGGATCTAGAGGGCCACATGTGTCCTCAAGGCTGAAGGTTCCCCACTCCTGCTTCTAATCCAAAGCAAGTCATTTAGAGGTTGCTCTGCCAAAAGAAAAGCTTAGACATCAAAGAGGCTGAAGCATGAGTGTAGGAGTGAGGTGAAGGGCAGGCTGAGGAGGGCAGCAGGATGGAACAAAAAGCCATGTCTATATTAGGGCACGTGATAAAGCCATAGAGACTTGAGACCCAACAGAGCAATACAAAATAGAAATTGTAACAACAGGTAGATACAAAAGACTATTAGGATAAAGACAAGATAGACATACCTTCATTCCAGCTGCAGCTGCTGGGCCACTGGGATCCACAGCCTGTATGACATGGCTTGCTTCCTCTTACAACAAAGCCCCATCCCACTGCATCACCAACAATCTAGGACCCACAGGAGAAGGGAAAAAAATTCAATTAGGAATCTTTGGAAAACACCTTGTAATTCACCTTTCTTTTCAAGGGAGAAGGAAAATCAACAGATCAATCAATAAACATCTATTGAGCAGCTTCTATGTGCCAGGCACTGTGCTAAGTGCTGGGGTTGGAGGGGGGGGAGAAAATAAACAATTATTACTCTTGTTCATTCAGATTTAGTTTAGGTTGTCTCACAACAGTCCTATAAGGTGGCTGGTACATTTCATAGTAACTCCATTTTTTAGATCAGAAAACTAAGGCCCAGAGAAGATAAATGGCTTGCTCACAATAATACCTCTATGAAACATCAAAGATGAGACTTACACATGTGTCCTGATTCTAGATCTTATATTTTCCCCATTATACTGAGCTGCCTCTCTCAAGCACCAGATATGACAAAGCTTGTCTCTGCTTCAGGTTTAACTATTTACCTACCCTGAACTGATCACATTATCAAGATAACTTAGCAGAATAATAATCATCCTGATGGCTGGTATTTGTTGTTGTTGTTGTTCAGTCATTTCTGTCAAGTTCCACTCTTCGTGACCCCATTGGGGGTTTTCTTGGCAAAAATACTGGAGTTGTTTGCCATTTCCTTCTCCAGTTCACTTTACAGATGAGGAAACTGAGTCAAACAGGGTTAAGTGATTTGTCCAAGATCACACAACTAATAGTCTAAGTCGAGCTTTGAACTCAAGAAGGTGAGTCTTCCTGACTCCAGGCCCAACACTCTATCCACTGTGTCACCTAGCTTACCTGGCCAATATTTATACAGTATGAACGGCTGGTGTTTAAGTCCTAGCTCTGACATGTACTGGCTGTGTGTTCCTGTGCAAGCCACCAGACCTCTAAGTGCCTCCCAGGGAACTCTCTAAAACTCTCAGTTATACATGAAGGATCAGAATAATGCAGACCTATGAAATCACAAGTCTAGACAAAGGAGGAACCCTGCAATTGACTCTCCTCAAAGTTTTCTTTGTGCAGAAGGCATGTGAATGACCACAATAACGTAACGAAAAACAACACTGAAAAACATTAGAATTCTGATTAACACAGTGACCATCTTCACTTCAGAGGACTGGAAATAAAACATGTCCACTATCTCTTAGGGGAAAAGTGGTAAACTACAGTTGCAGAATGAGGCATACATTATCAAGCATGGCCATTATACTGGTTTGTTTTCCTTAACTCTATTTCTTTGTTACAAGGGAATGTTCTATTTGCGAAAAAGGTAGATTCGAGGTGTGAAAGTTATTTTTTAAAAAGGTAATACAAAAATAGTTTTCTTAAAAAGATACAGCGAATAAAATAAATTTTAAAAAGAGATATAGAGAAGTACTTGACTTGCATGCAGATCATATTCTAAAAGACTCTAAGTTGGCTGTTTCAAACACATTTCCTCATAGAAATAATGTTTTATTTATAATGGTTAAGTTCCCATGCTAGCCTGTAAGCATTTAACCCATTTAATGTAGCTAAAATAGTGCACATTGTGATGAAAAATAATACCACAGGACAAAAATATGATAGTATTTACTCAAAACAGAAACACCAATAAAATGACTTAATATTATTTTGAGCATTGGTGCTTGAGAAGAAGTAGGTTTAACAATGGAGGATATAAAGGTAGATTGAAAAGTGTGGGGATTTAGAAGAGAAATTTCAAGGGTTTGGGAAGTTTTATTATATCTAATTCCATTTAAAAACACGTAGCTTTTACTTTGTACAGGTGTATCACTGCCTGGGCCTCACACTTAGCCATTATTTCTCATGTCTGAAATTGAACAGAAAAAGGTGTTAGGTGGGGGGTGGGGAAGAAGAGGCATGAAGAGATTTTCTCAAGGTCACTGTGGACATTTTCAAAGAGAAAAAGAAAAAAAAGAGGAAGGGAGTTAAAGAGGATATAGATGCGTCCTGGAAAAAGTGATTGTGTGAGCTGAAATTGAAGGAAAGTTGGAAGAAATGAGAAAGTTTCGTGTGGCAGTTCTTTTGAGGGAAAAGAAAAGAGGCAGGGGGAAGAGATTTTTGGATCCGATTTTATTATTCACCAGGCCAACCACCAAGAGCCATTATCCACGTGGGACGTTTTTGTTTCTTCTGGCTAGAGTAGGAGGTGATAGACATGTCTTACAGGATCACAGAATCTCAGAGTTGAAAAAGAACTCAGTGGCAACCTAATCCAACCTATAAACAAAAGGAATCCTAGTAAGCCCTACCCAACAAATGGTGGTTATCCAGCCTTTCCTTAAAGACCTTCATCGAGAAGGAACTTACTACCCTCCTAAAGCAGCCCATTCCATTTTAGGATATTTCTATTTGTTAGGAAATGTTTCCCAACATCTGTGGTTGCTTGAGTTCAGTGTGATAGTCTGGTGAATGTAACTAAGGTAAAGCTACATTATCAAAAGCACTGTTTCCCTTCATAGACTCAAGATATAATCACTTGAGAAAGATCCTCAGAGATCATCTAGTTAAACCTCCTCATTTGTAGGTGAGGAAACTGAGGGACAAAAAAATTAATTGACTTATGGTCACACGGGTAGTAAGTAGCAGAAGGAAGATTCAAACTAATGTGTTCTGATTCCATATTCAACTCTGCTTTGCTAGCGCCATGTTTTTATAAATACAGTACAGTCTATCTCTGCTCTTTCTTCTTTCCTTGATAATCTCCCATACTGATCCCTCTAATTCGTCTAGATTTTTCTCAGAATTTAACTTCAGTTCAAGAGGATTGTACTATTTGTAATTCAAGTGTAATCATGTCTGGCTAGTGCTTTTTTTTTTTAGATTAATAGCACACATTGAACAGAACAACATGGAAACATGGAACAATGCCAGTATAATTGCAACATTTTTAGTTCCTTTTTCTGTGAACACATTTGTGATGCAAATGCCCAAAGACCAAGAATTTTTTTATAATTATTAATATAACAATATTTAATATATTAGCCATCACAATTATATATTATATTTTATAATTATTCGTGTATTTTACATGAAATATAATAATATATAAATATCAACATATTTTGTTACATAATTATTTCTAATTATGGTTATATATAATTATATATTAGTAATTATAATTACTACAAATATGGATATAATTAATATAATAATAACCATATTAATAATTATAATACTAGCACTTTAAGGCTTACCAAATTCTTTACATGTTAACTCATTTATACATGTAGTCATTATACCAAAACAAAATCAGAAAGTCACTTTCACAGCAGTTTACAATCCATACACCAAATGGCACAGGAAAATAACTAAAGTACCTACAGTGAAAGTCTTTCTTGCATATGGCGCCCCAGGTGTCAGGAGTTCTTCAGAAGTGACTGGTCTCTTTAACACTGTGAAAACAGACATAGGTTATTTAATATAAGCTTAAAGAAGCAAATATTTCACAAAACTCATGTAAAATGTACTTTGTTATTTTTTCCAGATCTCAGGCTTTGTCGGTTTTTTAATTTGAGATTTCATGAATATTTGATATTGAACCAAGTTATAAAGGCCTTCCTTATTCAAAGGATGTGCCAATGATCCAGCTACTATATGTACCTGGATGAAGACACAGTGTATCACTGTGGCTGTACTCTTGATCAATAATTACTCAAGAATGGGTTTTCCTCCCTTTCCTCATTATATTGAAAATTTCAGCTACTCTAAAAAAAGTCAGATAACACCCAACTACCTACTTATCCCACTGTTTCCTCTTTTAATAGACTCTGGGATGGCCTGTCATTCAATCACGACTTGATTATTTTAATTATTGCAACATTTTCTTCTTCAGTTCCATGAAAATATTGAGAATACCCCAAAAAGCCCTTAATGATATTTACCATATGATATCATAAGAAAATGGCATATATTATAGAATCATGAACTTTTTTTTAAGAGATGGAAGGCATCCTAGAAATGATCCAGTCCTCCTCACTGTACAGTTGAAGAAAATGAAGTCCAGAGAGAGATGAAATTACTTATCTAAACTCACAAATATTTCTAAATGCTATATGGCAAGGCTCAATTTTTGTGCTCTAAAACAAATGCTCAACTATTTGGGAATATCTCATTCTCCATTTTATCTCTCTTGCTCATAAGTGACAGAGATAAAACTGGGGATTTCTCAGAACAAGAATAAACTTTGAGAATTTTGAGCTGCATGTCAGCATTGGCAACTTGTTCCTGAGAGAGCGAGAGATAGGAAAACAGCCTTGTTGCTTCTAGTTTGGGTATCTTTCTTGAATGAGGACAGAGAGAAGTAAAAAGTAAAAACACCCCCTCTACCTTAGCTCAGGCTCTCATCACCCCTGGCTTGAATTTTTTCAAGTCTCTTAACTGGTCTCTCTGCTTCTAATCTCTTCCTTTTCCAATACACAGATCTAATCATGTTACTTTCCTTCTCAAAATTTTAGTGGTTCCTTATTTCCTCTAGGATCAAAATCATCACACAAAATCATTAATCTCACATTTAAAACTTCACAATTTGGCTCCCATCTAACTTTTTGGTATTATTATATGTTACCTCCTTTCCAGTATTCCCCATTCTAACCAAACCGACCAGTTAACTGGTTTCAATATATAGCCTTCCATCTCCCACTTAACTGTACCCCATATCTGAGATGCATTCCCTTCCCAATTCCTTCTCCTAGAAATTCTGGCTTCCTTATAAAGCTCAGCTCAGTTGCCACCTCCCATGTGAGGCCTTTCCAAATGTCCAGTTTTTGGCATACCCTCTCTGTTAAGGTTACTTGGTATTTATTTTACTCTAATTTTACTAAAATTTATTATCAATTTGATAGAACATACTATATTTCCTTTTCTCAGTAGAATGTAAGCTTCTGGAGGGCAGAGACTTTTAAATATTTATATATTCATCGTTTATGTATTTTGTATTTTTTTGTCTTTGTATCCCTTTACCTTGTCGAGTCGATATGCATTTAATACCTACTATGTACTAGGCATTGTGCTAAGTGCTATGCTTGGAACATAACATTTAATAATTTTTTGTGGAATTAAATTGAATTAGCTTAACTCAGAGGAACATTGACAGACCATGTTCATTCATAAAAAACTTGCAACATGAACAATAATTTTAAAATACCCCAGCCATCCTCTTGCTTAATGCAACCAGAAAGATTCAAAACAAGCTAATAAGTTCACCTAATTTTTCTTGAAGCCTTTCCTTTTAAATGGTAAAATATTCAGCACATTTTTATCTGGGCCTCAAATCCCACCCACTTCTTCCTTCCTCCTAACTTATTAGCGGCATTCTTAAGAAACCAGATACTGCAGAGGGATTCTCAATGACTTTTGTAGTCAGGCCTATTGGCAATAGGGTTCTCTTTTCATTGTTAGCTCAACTCTATTTTTTTTTAACTTACTGATACTAGGAAGTACCAACAAGGATACTCCCATACATCCCCTGTAGAAAAATCAAAGTCCATTGGACTCCCGCCCCTCCCCTCCACGTGCTACTGGATAAAATGTGCATATCTGAAAGGACAAATTAAATAAAAATCTAGATTACTGAAATTATTGACTCTTGGAGAATCTGAATTACTTCCAAATCACAGTCAATAAATAAGGAATTAAGTTGGTTTAACCTGTGATGAATTTGGTTAGCTACACATTTTCTCCTGTAACTCTACTGGTATTTTCAAAACTTTAGGAAAATAAAGCTTATTTTACAGCCCACTGTCAGAACAGTAAAATGTTTGGCCAGGGTAGTAAAATGCCAGGTTTTTATCTGGTGATTAAGTTTACTTTTATTTACTCTTCAAGGCACAAAAGACATAAATCTATAAAAGAAGGCTAATAAGAGCACTACCTTACAGGGCTGCTGTGAGGATCAAATAAGATAAAGTGCTATAAAATGTTAGCTATTAAATTTTTAATATGCTTACAAAACAGAATTAAGCTTCTGATCTGATGGATCCATTTTCAACAGCTCAAGTTGTCTTCTTCCCCTGTCAAACAACACTATGCGTGTTCTGTTCCCAAGTAAAGGTGCAGAAATCCAAAGGCCAGGCAGAAGGCTGGTGAGCTGAACTTTCAAGCCCATCTAGTGAATTTTTACACCTGGTTCCCTGAAAAACTAAAATAGACCATACATAATGGTGCTTATTCTACACCTGCTTAGGACCATCCATATGTACCAGGGGACATAATAAAGTCCAGTTAAATGGTGATCTCATCACTTCCCAGGGATTTCATTGCCACATCTATATTGGTGATTCTCAAATCTACCTATGCTGCCCTAACCTCTCTACCGACTTCCAGTCTTGAGTCTCCAAATGCCTTTCAAACATCTTGAAATGACTGTCCAGTAGACATCTTAAACTCATTATCTTTCCCCCTAACCTCTCCCCACCTTTAACTTTCTCTATTACAGTCAGGGGTAACACTATCCTCCCAGTCCTACATTATTGACTGATTGATAAGTCTATGTGCATTACCTGTATTGACATGTGTATATGTATACATACATACATGCATACATATATATATAATATATATATGTATATACACATACATACATGCATATATATATATATGTATATGAAATCTGTATTGAGGGTTATGCACATTTTGGGGGCGAATTTCCCACCTTGCTGACCAGCTCATCACAGAATCATGACATTTAAAAGACACAAGAGATCCCCTCATTTTACGATCATAAACCTGAAACCCAAAGAGGTTAAAGGTTAAAGTTCTTGGCAGAGGTAATAATCAAATGAATCTGTGATCTCATCACTTTTGGATAAGGGGCTGCTTTTTCCCTAGAAAGGACATTTAGAGGGTACTGGCAGCATTTCTAGTTTAACTGGTACAAATGACTGAGTCTGTTACCAAGTGACTAAGAATACTCAAATGAATTTGTGGTCTCATTGATTCTCGAGGTCCCTCCAGTGATCCAAATCACAACCTGTCCAATTGTGCCTATCCTGTCTGGCCCTTGTCTATGTCCCCCCAGAGGCAAAGAGGCCACATAATGAATGGATAGAGCCCTGGGTTTGGAATCAGGAAGCCATTTACTAGCTCTGTGATCTTATACAAATCACTTAACCTCCCAGACTCAGTTTTCTCATCTGTAAAATCAGCACAATAAGCACATCTTATTCCTTATTGTGATCTTACGTTGTAAGGATAAAAAAGGATGAAGTGCTACATAAATGTTAGCTATTGCTATTGTTAACAATAATAAATTTGTCCCAGGAAATCCACCCAACGTGCTAATGGTTTTCCTTGTTCTCTCCCAATAACCCAAGGAAAACAATGGACTGCTCTGGCTGCTCACATGGAGCCCATCAGCCTTGCCATTTGACCAGCCCACCTTCTTTTCTTGCCATACAATTCCTTGAGGACATTTCCTATGCCTGTCCTTCCTCTTTGGTTGAATGTAGCAGTCTGTTCCCACCCACTCTGTGCTTATTCTTTGTGTGAGATTCATTTTAAAACCTTTGAAGCTCTTATACTGCCATATAGCAACACCTGCAGAATGCTGAGATTTTTTTTTTGTTGGTTTTTTTTTTTAAGGCAATTGGGGTTAAGTGACTTGCCCAGGGTCACACAGCTAGTAAGTGTCAAGTGTTTGATCTGAGGCCGGATTTCAACTCAGGTCTTCCTGACTTCAGGGCCGGGGCTCTATCTACTGTGCCACCCAGCTACCCCAGAATGCTGAGATTTTTAAAATGGGCCTTTGCTTTTAAGGGGATGTCAGGGGAAGGGAACAAATATTTATTAAGTGCCTATGATGTACCAAGCACTGTGCTATTACTATCTCATTTGATCCTCATAATAACCCTAGGAGGTAGGTGCTATTAACGGCTCCCCTTGTCCAGGAAACTGAAGCAAACAGGTAAAATTACTTACCTAGAGGGATACGGCTAGTAAGTATCCAAGGCCAACTTCAATTCAGATCTTCCTGACTCCAGGCCAGGGCTCTACCACTATGCCTCCTAGCTGCTGCTAGGTTTCATGAAAATCTTGGGGTTATTAAGGGAGGGAGTCTTGCAATTTCCCAAAGGCAATTACAACAACTCTCCCCCTCCCCCTTTTCAACTCTGGAGCCAATTCAACATCCATATGTACTGTCTGTTCCAGACATACATAGTGATGGCCAAGGTCCACTGGGTGTCCATCCAAATGCAGGTATTCTGGGCAACAGACATTCTTTATCCCTTTGATCTTTCTTTTCTACGTGGATAAGCAAGCCAAACTCTTTTGAGTGATGACAGATCTCTTCCAGGAGGCTCTTCATTGTTCCTGGGCTTGATGAAGTCAACACAATATCTTGTAAAATCAGGAACATCTGGAGGATCTCACCGTCCATAGGGAATCCCTCTTCAACTTGGACTCTGCACTGGAGCTTTCTGATCCATGATGGTGAACACCTCTGGCTGGCATACATCTTCCTGGTTTATGCCTCACCAGATGTTATGATCAGAAGGTCACTGAACAGGGTTATCTATTATATCTGTCTAGATATATATCTCTAAGGATCAGATGGTGACAGAACAGAGTTATATATTGTTATAACATTCAAGAAATCTTGAACGCTTTTAATGCATATACAAGAGATCTTTTGTTGAAAAAGCCTGTAAGATATCATATTGCTCTATCAAATCATATGCTTTTTAAGAATAATCAACAAATAATAAACACAGTAAGATCTTATAGTCCTATATTATTCAGTCAATTGTGAAGTGGTCAAGATGTGGTTCTCGGTGAGTATCACCTGCAAAAGCTTGCATACTTCTCATTAATACTCTCATCAAAGATGTGCTCAGTTTGTATACAGATAACTTTCATAAAGATTTTACATGCACGGAGAACAGGCACATAGGCCAATAGTTAACAATGTTCTCTTGGTTGCCTTTTTTAGCATCAGCAAGGCCTGAGATTTTTTTCCACCTCCCTGTGATGTCTTTCTCTTCTTCAGAAATTTTACATATTGATCCACCTTCATAACTGTGTCACTTCAGCACGATTCTCCTTTCTATACATTTGGTCCACGTCAGCCTCCAAACAAGGTCAGTTAATAACCCTACCTTTTGGGCTGGCCATATGCACAGGCAGAATACATTAGAGCCTAGGTAATGTGAGTTGGCATATCAAATTCTGCCAATGACCCATTATGATAAGTGATTTAAGAATTCCTAAAACAATCACTGCTTTCAACTAAGAAACTGAACGTAGCGGCTATCTTGGGGTGGGAGGGAAAGGATAAGGTATTAAGTCGCTATCATCCATTAATATTATAACAGGAATCAGATGATCAAACCAGCCATCACCTGGCAGGGCCCTGAGGGGCGGGACAAAAGCTTTCATCAATTAACCAACACTTACTGAAGGCCTTCTGTGTATGCAAAGTTTTGTTTTTGAGGTTTAGGGGAGAAGAAGAGAGCAGGAGTTCTTAACCTCTTTTGTGTCATGAATCCCCTTTGGCAATCTGGTGAAACCAACAAACTTCTTTTTAAGAAAAACATTTTAAAATATATAAATAAAATACACAGGATTACAAAGGAAAGGTATTCTATTGAACAGTTATCAAAATATCTATTTTTTTAAAAAAGTTCATGGACCCCAAGTTAAGAACCTTTGGTCTACTGGAAGGGATTGGGCATTCTTCAGGGTAGCAAGAGGGGAGGATGCCAAAAATGCAGTGGGTTGGGGCCATGCAGAAACAGAGACTGAAGGGCAACAGAGGCTGACTTCAGAATTCTGCCAAGGATTGTATGGCTTTTACTGTGTTCCCCTGCAGGCTTCTTCTACTTTCCAACAGCTTTCCTTAATTTCTTTCAGTAGCCTAATAAAGCCTTCTTTATTTGTTTCTCTGCTCTGCTCTTAGCCCCAAATAATATGGCTGTTTGCCAGCTATGGGCATGAAGAGCATTCCTCAAAATTCTCTGATGTTCTTTAAAATAATTCAATTGCTGGCTTCTTCCTCTATCATTTTATGAACAAATCATTTATTCACCATGAAGGCAACCATGCTTCTCTTCTTAGAAATTTAATTATTGCCTACACAGGCCACACTAAGAGTTGAAGAGGGTCTGACATTTTGTGAAGGCAAAAATCCAAGTTGCTGAAGGAGGTCACTTGGACTTTCTGTTTTTTTTTTTTAATTTCTTTCTCTATAAGACTTGGATACCACTACAGCCCAGAGAAAGGAAAACTCTGGGCAGATTTGTTTCATTCCTACTGATTATCTCTTTAGGGGACCTTCAACCTGAATGGGACTTTAGAGATAATTTAATGCAACCACTCCATCTTACAGGTGAAGAAACTGAGGCCTGACAAAATTAAGGGACTTGTTCAAGGTCATCCAGGTAGACAGTAAGAGATGCAGAATTCAAACCCAGCTCTTCCAAATCCAGATCTCTTTCAATTGTATTACAAGCTCCCAAATGCTTTGTGGGCAAGGATCTTGTCACCCCCACCACCCACCCAGCAGCTAGCACGGTGTTCTACACACCATCGTAATTTAATGTCTGTTGAACAGAACTAGCAGAAATAACTGAGGCCTATATACTTATTAGTCTCCTTTGTTTCTTTCAAAACTGATCAATTCCCTCCTTCTACATAAAGTCTTTTCTTATCTCCCACCTGCCCTACAAAATGTACTTTGTGTTTATTTTGTGCATGTTTCCCTCAATAGAATGTAAGCCTCTGAGGACAGGAACCTGCTTCACTTTTGTCTTCATGTGACCACCAAGAACAGTGCCAGAAACATAAAAAAAGTTTAATAAATAACTATTGATCAATTAATGACTTTGCTCTTCAGGCTATCACAGATTAAGGAATGCATGTGTTCATCCTGCATTGTTAAAAAAAATCCAGATATTTGCAGATGTATCTCTCTTATGAGTATGCCTTGTTTAGTCATCTTTGACTCTTCACGACCCCATTTTAGGGTTTATTTGGCAGAGATACTAGAGTGGTTTGCCATTTACTTCTTCAGCTCATTTTCAGAGATGAGGAAACTAAGGCAAGCAGGGTTAAGTGACTTGCTCAAGGTCACACGGCTGGTAAGTGTCTGAGATCAGATTTTTACTTTGTACACACAGAAGGCCTTAAGTAAAAATAGCATTCTATCCACTGCACCTGTCCATATGTGTGTATAATCAACAATATAATCCTGAAGCAACTTCTGAACAATTTCATATAAATAATAAAATCTATTTTTGAAAAAATTATAAAAGCTCATTCATAGTAATAGTATCATAGATTTAGAACCAGAAGGGATTCAATAGACAATGTAATCCAACTCCCTCATTTTACAGAGGAAGATCTCAGGCCGGAAAACTGAATGACTTGCTCAAGGTCACACAGAGCAGAAATGGGATTTGAACCCAAGTCCTTTGACTCCAAACCTAATGCATTTTCCATTATACCACTCTATTTCTCTACTCTTCTCTGTTTCTCCATTATCTGTTTAATCAGTTTCTCAAAGGCTACAATCAGGAAGGACCCACCCAGGGTCCTCATAGGAACTAACTCCAGGGCCAATTCACTCTAGGCTGCATGGAATCCCATCTCTACTTTATTGTAATCATTTAATAAACATTTACTAAGCACCTACTATGTGCTAGGCACCGTGCTAACTGCTGGGATACAAAAAGAGGCAAAAGAAAGTCCCTGCCCTCAAGGAGCTTATGATCTATCCTGAGGACCAGCAAGGACCTCCTCATTTGTTCACAGTCAGGAAAAGTCAAACTCCAGGGCACTCCTACACATTCAAAATGGAGGCGGGGTTTACAGAGAGGGCTGCAAAAGGAGGTGGGACATTTACCTGACTTGGGGTTGCAGAGCACTGGGGGGCTGCTGCTGAGGGTTGGGCTGCTGCTGAAGTAACCGCTGCTGCCACAGCTGCTCATGCTGCTCCTTCTCACTGCAGACACGATCTTGATCTCCTTGCTTGGGCTCACTGTGAAAAACCAGAAAACAAACAGAGCCGCTGCGGTCAGTCCCCGCTACCTGGAGCATGCTAGTCAGGAAAGCTGGGAGTCAACAGACATTTGCTTCCATGTTGCAGGCCACAAGCTCTAGTAAGAATGAGCAGTGAGGCTCCCTAAAAGATGAAAATAAGCTATAGATGCAGTAACAGTGTGGTGGTCACTGTGCTGGCTACAATATTAATGAGCTAATAATGATAACGAATGCACAGCTGCAATGCCAGCTCACTGAAGATTCAATGATTAGCCACCCACTTCCACAGAGAAGAAGCTTGCCATGCAAAACATGACAAAGCTTTTGAAATTAAATCTTTGATGACTTCACTAGTTTTCCATTCCTGTTTTTGATCTCCACCATGGAATGAGATTCTCAGTCATGAGAAGACAATCAGCTATTTGAAGCCACTTAGGAAATCAGTTTCCCATTGCACTAAAATGAAGTCTATGTCAATTAAGAAGATAATATTTCATAATTGGATCAAAATGCAGTCTTATGGGGGAAAATGAGTTGTGTGAACTTGTCATCATTGATCTCAGGGGAGAGTAATTGACACTGTGAACATCAATAATTATATAACATCATAAAACTGCAGTATGGCCTAGTAGATAAATGGTTGGCTTGTAGTTGGAAAGAACTGGGTTCAAGTCTATATCCAATATACACTTTCCATACGCCCATGGGCAAACCAACTCAGGGCCCAGGAAAACTTTCTATGTCTGCACATAACAGTTATATAATACCTGTACATGCATCAGTGGAGGGAGATTCCACCCTGGGAGCCCAATGAAATAACAGGATTGGACCAATAGATGAAAACAACAATGCCCTCAGGGACTACACTGGTGTGTTAAGGATGTTGGCTCATATACTAAAAGGCCCCAGAGAGCTCTGCTGCTTTATAGAAAAGCATCAGGATTCTCAGCCTACTCTCTTATATTCAGCTGTCACACCTCATCATTGTCCTGGTACCTGGACAGAGTAGCTGCTCTTCTGGCCTTTAATTTGCTATAGTTTAGA